CTAGGCAAAAGAACACTAGAGAAGAGAAACTTGACAACCAGCAACCAGAATATTATTAGCCAAGAAATCACAGCCTATTCAGCACAGCTTATACCAGTCAGAAGTCTAGGAATTCCATTAGAAGAACCAACATGGGTGGGAATAGTTTACTTTAACCACTGCCAGATATTCCTCATCCCAGCAAGCGGATGGGCTATGGGCAGTAGAGGAAGAATTTTGTTAGTTTTGGGGGGTTTTTTAAGCTTTCCCTGATAAAATAACATTACATGTAACAAAAAAAAGAGAGAAATCCTTCCCAAAGAGCAGTCCTCTGGTTTGCTGTGAAACCAGACAGACATTTCAAGCAGGATCCTGCTTGTTCTGTTCTATTTCCAGTGGGTATTTTTATCAACAACTCGGAAGTAGAGAACACTTCCAGAGTTTATGAATGACACTGCACTGGTAGGAGCTGGAATCATTCTGGAAGACCGGATCAGCCCCATAAATGCTCTCAGAATTTGGAAAGATGGCACGGAACCAACAGGATGGAATCAAAAAACAAACCAAGAGGAATTGTACTTAGGAAGAAGAGATCCAACCCAAAGTTGGAATATGTGGCTAAGCAGCAAACCACAGCATCATCTTGAGTTACAGCTGCTCAGAACATTAAAAGGAATCAACAATCTGGCTCATGACTGCTTGAAAGTCATCTTCTCAGAGGTATTCATCAGTATTTCCTATATGGGGTGTAATTATCCTGCTGTAGTCAGTGCTACAAGGCTTCAGCTGGAATAGTGCTTTTGGGCTTAGGCAGCGCTTTCAGCAAGTCACAGAAAATCAGCAGTGAGATAATTTGGGGATATAAGAGAGCAAGTGCTACAAAATGTAGCCATGCCTTTTATAACATCAGTCAGGTAGGTGTGGAATGTGTTACAACCCTATGCTAGGGCATAGAAACATGCTCAAAAAAGGACTCAGGCCAGAAAACTCTGTTATCTTGCCCTGCAAGTCAGAGGCAAACAAGAAAATCACGTGTATAGGAAGAAGTCAAAGGAGTTTGGTCTTTTAAGTCTAAAAGAGGGCAAATATAATAATTTCATTGATAAGATGTCAAGATGTGAGCCCTTATTCTCCATAACCAAGCTGCAGAGCATGGATATAAAAATGAGCTGACACTGGAGACCAGAACGATTCAATACAGAAGGAAAAGATGTCCAGAGCTGCTGTGTAATCACCTTTCCCAACTGTTACCCTTCCAGCTGTGAGCTGGATGGTCTACTTGGCCTCATTTCAGTGAGGAGCCAGCCTGGATGACACCTTCCAGTCTCCCCAGCCACACCTATTGAGAATTCACATTGTGCTCGCTGCCAGAATGCTCTGTAACTCTTGACTAAGCTGATTCCTCACACACTGCAAGTGAAGCCAGGACCTGGGACCATGAGCACACAACGTTGGCAAACACATACCCTTGCCTTCTGCTTTTCTGCTTGGAGCTGGGCATCGATCTCTTCAGGACTGGTGTACTGTCTTGCTCGGCCTTTGTGGCCTCCTTTTCTACCTGTACAGAAAGGTAAAGTCAATAAATGGTTTAGTGATAAGGTTCCACAAAGGTCTCCTCCTCCTGCAGCACTCTGTGGATTTTCAGTGCAGATGGGACAAACCAAACCAGCTCCTTTGACAGAATCTAAACAACAACAAAAGCCAAGAGTTTTGGGTAAGTGGCACAGAGAATTGGGATTACTGGTCCATACAAAGGCACCCAGAGAATCAATTCCTTCAGTGGCTCAGTCCCACAGCCACTCCCTGCGTTTCCTGCACAGGATGAACCACAGCCTATTCCTGAGGCAGCATGGTTACAACTAACCCTCCAACCAGCTTCCCTCCTTAACCCCTCCCCTACAGTAAGGCTGTGCCAAGAAAAAATAGGAAGCTAATTGGACAAAAGCTTTAGGAATTACAATGAGTGCAGAAGAACTACTAGAAGGAGCCTCCATGTTTTACTGCTTTACAAGGAATACTCAAAACAAGCTCTAGGAACCAGGAACAGGACAGATGCAGCTTAGCTGGCTGGGCTGTGGGGCTAAGATCTGCTCTCAACTTCAGCACTTCATTAATCCACAGAACTCTGAAGCCATTAATGCTTCCTGCAAGTGACTGCTGTGTTTGTGTTTCCTACTGGAAAGCAAGCAGAGCAGAGTCAGTGTCTAGCTTTGAGCTGGAGAGCTCAAGGTACATCTGGGACACAAGGTTGGCACAAGGCAAGCAGCTCAGGCAAGGAGCTCTCTGCTGCTGCAGGAGGCTTTGAAGGAGCAGGAAATCCTTGCTCTCACCCTCCCTGCTTCACCTGCTGAGGGCAAGGCAGTGGGGATCATTCCTCCTTTCTCAGGGAGGGATCTGCACTGTGCCATTGTCCTGTCGGACTTGGTGGGACTGGGAACACCAGGAAGGCTCAGCCTCTGTGGGCTTTAGGAAGTCTGTGTTCTCTGACCAATCCTCTTGGCTCGATAGAAACAAACCCTCACGTGGTTTAGCTCAATAAAAGCTAACCTTTGGAATAAATGATCTCAAAACCCCCACAGTGAAGCCTTAGAGGCTCCAGAGATGTTTCCCTCAGGTGAAACGGGGAAGTGCAGAGACCACCTTCTTCCCAAACTCAGCAATGGAAACTCATGGGTACTCAAACCAAACAGCTGCACCCAAAGGTGTGTGTTTTCCATGCATGTGCTCCCAGCCATCCCACGTGGCAACACCGACACCCTCTGGGAACGCTGCAGCCCAGGAAGGAGACATTACCTCAGTGCCTAGCAAATGACATCACTCTAAGTGGAACAGGAGCATCTTGGACACTATGTAGCACGAAGCAAACTCAAATCAACCAAACCAACATCATGCCAAAGGCTCAGCTGCCGCCGGGCAGCTTCTCATCCAGCTGGGCTTGGGATTTCACAGAGCTGAAGGACACAAAAGCCTTAATACTGCAAATAAACAGTAGTAATAAGAAGGGGAAGCAACTAAAGAGTAATTATCTCGCATTAAATGGCTAAAAAGAAGCAAATGGAAGAGTGAATCAATCTCATTTACATTTGAGCACATAGAGAAGTAAGACTGAGCTGTGGCAGCCACGGCAAGCTCAGCCCAGTGCAGATGGAGCTCTGCTCTTCCCAAGGAGATCAAACCACCCCTTGGACAAGCAGAGCGGTCCTACATCTGCCACTGACCTGCTGCATTGTGCTGCACAATGCGCTTGTGCTCCGTGCCTCGGTTTCCCCATCTGGAAAAGAGGGGCGATGAATCTGATCCTCTTTTAAACCAGAAGCACCTGCAGGAAAGCCCACGGGTGCCTAAGGCAGGATTGCTTCCAAATACATTTGTCTTCAGCTTTAAACAGCGTAATAAAGGAAGTTAAATCAAAGAGAATGGAAGGATATTGATGGACTCACCTTTTCTTTAAATTAAGGTATTAAAACCAATCCAAATAATCAGAAATAATCCTATAACAGATTGTATCAGCGCCTCTTTAATTCCCACCCCATTTTTAAACAGTGAGGGCAAAAATCCACTCTTCTGCTAACAACACAGTAACTGCTACTGACTTAGGGAGATAGGTGAGAAAACACCCCTCTTTTCCCAAGGACCAAAAGGTCTTAAGCATATAAAACTGTACAACACAGAGAAGTAAATCCCAAATCATGGGGCATTTAAATGCAGCACCCAGGGTTATAGCCCCCCCCCTCCCCAGTTCTTTGGCACGTGAAACCTTCAGCCCTATTCACTAACGCCGTGCACACGGGCACAAACCAAATGCTGAAGGAAAGCCTACCCAGGGGAGCGGATCTGGTTCTAAACGCTTGGGAATGCTGATGAAATCAACTGGGGCAAACCCGAGTGAGGAATGACGAGGGCTCATTTACGCGCTATGGCTGGGCTTTCACCGACGCTCACCCAGGAGCCAATTATGCAGATGGTGCATGTGGAGAAGGTTCTGGGTGCACCCAACCCCTCCTTACTTCTCCTCACCCACACTTCCCCCCCCCAAAGCCGGTGCCCGCTCCGCCATACCTACAGGAAAGGAGCCACGTTTGGAACCCCTGAACCCGAAATCCCTTCAGCGGGGGGGGGCACGGACCCTTCCACAGCCCTCCAGGAGCGGGATGGGCGCGGAAACCGAGACCCCCATCCACAGCCGGTGGAGGCCGATGAGGGGAATGGAGACCCCCCCCCCCCTCAACCTCCTCAATACCGGGAATGGGGGGGACGGGACGGACACGGGACGATCCCCTCAGACCCAACCCGCACCCCTCCACCCCATGGCTTGGCTCCCACCTCCTTTGGGCATCACGGCGGCGATGGCGGCTGCGGCGGCTGCGGCGAGGCCCCCCCCTCCCGGCCCCGAGCCGTGACCCGGCACCGGAACGCGCCCCACCTCCGCGCGCACAGTCACCGCCGCCCGCCAGGCCCCCGCCGCGGGGGCTGCCCGCAACGCTGCCGGTCCCCCGCGCAGCCTCGCCGCCTCCCTCATGCGGCTTAGAACCGGGCCGCTTCGCCTCTCGGGGGGGGACGCGAGCTCCGCAGTGGTCCGGCCAAGGTAGGGGAGCGTTCGGTAGGGTGGGGGTTTTACTCAGGCGCTGCGGAGGGCAGCCCGGTGGGGCGGGGCCAAGGGCTGGACCGGGTGCAAGAGGACCCCGCGGCTGACGGTGGCGCCGCGGCCCGGAGGGGTGAGCGGGGCCTGGGCCGGGGCTTCGGCTTCCCCCTGCCACGGGGTTACAGTGGGGCTGGGGGAGCCGGAGCTGACGGAAGCTGTTGCTTCAGGGTGGCCCGCGGTAGGCGAGGGCCTTGTGTCGCCTCGTTTCGCTGAGGGAAAACCCGGTTTGTTGTGGTGGGGGAACGCGGCGTCACCACGGGGCCGCCTCTGGGGAGATACGGCTCATTCACGGCTTTATATTTTACCGTGGAAGCGGTAAATAAGCACAGGTGTCCTCGGAGAGCTGTGTCTAACTTTGTTTTATTATGGTGATTCTAAGGACTTGGGAGCAGGCGGAGGTTTGAGTGCAGTTAACCGCTGGTTCCTTCGCCTTCCTCCTTGCTGAGGCCATGCCGAAGGTGAAGAGGAGCAGGAAGCCTCCGCCGGATGGCTGGGAGCTGATAGAGCCAACGCTGGATGAGCTGGACCAGAAGATGAGGGAAGGTGAGTGGCTGAGCTGGGTCTGTTCAGGGATGGGACCCTGGAACCAGCTGAACCTTAACTCCCTCCAGAGCACAGCTTCCTCTGCTAATACAAATATCCCATCACAGATGATAATACACATTATTATATATTTGTTATCATCTCTGCCTTGCAGCAATACTGCAGGCTGAGCCTGGACAGTATTGGGCATTCTCTTCTGTATGTACTGTTTTCAGAGCACTTTGTTTGGGGCACGTTGTTTTGGGGTAGCTATGGCTGAGCCCTGGCTGAAGCTCACGGATGTGAGTGGAGGGACTGGTCATTCTTGTCCATGCTGTTGGTCTGGTCTGATGGGCCAGGGCAGCCATGAAGTCACCTGTCCCCACAGTGCAGGTCACGTCATCCCCATTCTGGTCATTCAGGCATTATTAATGAAAGGAGCTCTTCCAGGTCAGGTCCTTTTTATTTGAATTATATTTAGGTTAGACATAAGGAGGCTCTACCCTGTGAGGGTGCTGAGGCGCTGGCACAGGGTGCCCAGAGAAGCTGTGGCTGCCCCATCCCTGGCAGTGTTCAAGGCCAGGTTGGACACAGGGGTTTGGAGCAACCTGCTCTAGTGGAAAGTGTCCCTGCCCATGGCAGGGATTGGAGCTGGATGAGCTTTCAGGTCCTTTCCAACCCAAACCATTCTATCATTCCGTGAATCTTCTCCCATTATGCTCAGTCTTATCTCTGTCATGCATATATAAAGGTTCTTGGAACAGTTTCTTGCAAAGTGACTGAGGAATTAAGATGGGCACCTGAAACCTGGTATTTGTGTTCCCTCCCAGCGGAGACTGAACCTCACGAAGGGAAGAGGAAAGTGGAATCCCTTTGGCCTATCTTCAGGATCCATCACCAGAAAACACGTTACATCTTTGACCTCTTCTATAAAAGAAAAGCTATCAGCAGAGGTGAGGAAGGCAAAGGCTTTACCTGGGTGGGTGTCGTGGTTTAAACCCAGCCACACAGCTAGTTCACTCACTTCCCCCCTTCCTTCCTCTTTCTTTCCTTCTCACTCCCGGAGGGATGGGGAGGAGAATCGAAAGCATGTTAACTCCCACGGGTTAAGAACAGTCCAGTAACTAAGC